AGTAAAGATGGATGTAACTGAAAAACAGAACGTCTGTTCTTTAAAGAAAATACTTTTTATGTTACTTCATACATACACATACCCTTAATTTCCTTCTTTCATGTTTGGTCATCTTATATGGGTTTGTCACCCAGGCAGTGGGATAACTGACATAGTCACAATCAACTTGGGTGGCACTTCTGACAAAATATTTCTAAAAGTTCTTAATGCTGTTTGCTTGTGAGTTGATGCCTGTCATTCCTTATGAAATTTGTCTATTTATATAGTATCTGGTAGTTTTATGATATTGCAGACAACAGGCTTTCATGTGTGAATGAAATATTTTAATTTTTTAGCAGAATATAAACTTACTTATTAATTATGTATGTCTATTGCAATCTGAGAAATTTATAGAACTGTTTGTAAGCACACCGAAGAAAGAGAATGAGTGAAATCATTAATAACAGTGTAGATGATGGATGGTTAATGAGATGAAAAAATGAAACATATGGATGAACCTGGTACTTGGTACTACAGGCTCTATTCAGCTAAATTTAGCATCTAAATTCTAATTTTTTTATTTATTTTTGATTAACAAAGGACCTGATGGACTGTCTGCTAAAATCAATGAGAAGTCTCTAGACTTCAGTGGACATTGGTTCAAGCCATGGATGAGTGTCGTCTTCCACATGTTTAATAACTATGAAAGCTGTTAATTATTTTTATTGAGGGTTAACTAATGATCAATAATTCTATGGGTTTTTGTCAAAAATTTAATGTGACAGCTGTGATAGTTCATAACTTTCGTACCTCTTCCTGTCCCTACATCATTTGGTCCTTAGCAAAAGGTACTCTTGTATAGCTTCCAGAGTAGACTTCATGTCTACAGTAGCTTTCAGATTCTCCACATTAATGTGGGATACAGCCCAGACTTAATACTATGAATTACCAATGGGATCTGCCAGTTTGCTCATTAGGAAGTAATTGCTTCCAGAGAAATAATCAGTATTTTAACTTCACACAAACACACCTTTGATAATTTGTGTGCTTGAACTTTTAACATACAAGTTCAAATAAGCAAGTTTATTGTAATGAAGAATTCTAGTAACCTGCTTATTACTGAATTAGAATGAGATTGCAAACAATACAGTTTTAAAATATCAATAATTTTGCATATACCAATTGAGATAATTCTTTTCTAGCTTATTATCAATGCATGATCTATATTACAACCAGACAAGCAAAGGGGGCAACTCAGTAGCACAGTCTGCTGAGAGTTGTTTTTTCAGAATAGAATTTCTGTGATGGTTATTGTTTTCCCAGTTTTGACAAGATTTTTTTCTGGTATCTGACCAACACAAATGACACTTTAAAACATGCATTTCTAATTTAGGGGAATTTATTACACAGCAGCTTTGACTGGGTGCCTAGAAATAAATTTGAAATGCCACATTTACATTTCCATTAAGATAGCAATTATTTTCCATACAAAAAGGTTTGTTGGAGAACTGATTCATCTACCCTTAGGACTTCTTTCTACACAAAACACTCTGACTTGCAGTTATAAACTTCTACTGCAAAAGTGTGTTCATTGCATAACACATCAGAATATTTTTTTGTGATAGGTAGTGAGTATAGAGACCACAGAGCATTAATACAATAGGTGTTGGACATTAGGATGTGGTATTTAGGCAGAACAGCCACAGCTGTAAGTACTAGAAGTATAGAAGTTACTTGGCCCCAGAAGGAAATAAACAATTACAATATCTTAATTATTCAATTCCAGTTGATATGAATAAGCACCTCCCATGTCTAATGTAGGCAGAAGGATATAGAATTTGATTATTGTCGGCTGAAGATACCATGGATGCTTCTTTATTTTTGACACTATAGAAGACTAAAAATAATTTGATGCTTATGCAATACAAATGAGAAATGTTGGATTGAATTTAACAGTAGAGCTATTAGCTTTGTTTATGCCAGTTCCATCACTGGAATTAACAGTCTAAGAACTTCATTAAGGATGTCCTGAGACTGAGGAAAAAGTAAAAATCCATATTGTTACTGGGTCAGGCTTTGTCTAATGTTAAAAATAATCAGAAAACAGCTAAAAATACATATTTTAACCTAATAGCGAGGAACTCATTAGTGGAAAGAAAGAATGTGGCCTAGTATGTTTATATTGGTAAAAATGTTGGTTTTGAGACTTATCTTCTGGTTTTTATTTTGACAAAAAGTGTGGAAAATACTTTCTCCAGGTAATCATCTTTATTTCTTATACCTGGATGATCATTGTACTATATGCTTCTTGTCAAGAAAAAAGTTAACACCTGACTGTGATACAAACTATTTTCAAACTCTCAGATATTCACAAATACTTGGTCAGCTATGCTAAGCTGGCTTTCAATGAAGTTTGATATAGTGGTTTCTTAGTAACAGTCAACTGATACCTCAGAAAAGCTATTTCGTAAACCTGAGGTTGAACTCACAAAGAACACATGGAAGACTTTGATCCATTATGTGGTGCACACTTTACACATGGGATTTTCAGGAGAGATACAAAATGTGCAAACAAAGCTGAAGGAAGTATGTGATTACAGTCAAAATGTAATCTCTGAACATTCTGTCTTTTATAGTAAACAATTAGTATGTGTTGCTTCTACAGGGATAGACAGAGTAATCTTACTCTGTTTTCCCAGTGGAAAAACTGTCTTGATGTAATTATTAACAAGGAACTTGAAGCATACTGAGTTTTCCATTACTTTGTCACCACATCTAATCCAAAATTTATGGGTTGGATCAAGCCCAGAACAACAAACAAAAGGTAAAATTTATGGGTTGGATCAAGCCCAGAACAACAAACAAAAGGTAAAATACGACTGATGGATCTTCATGAAATCTTTTTCTTCTTTTGAGGTTTTCATTTGGAAATGAATTGTGGCTTCCTTCTCCTGCTTCAAATTTTGTTTAATAAAAAGCATATTTCATCAGAACTGTGGAAGTAAAATGAGGCAGGATGTTTGAATTCAGAATGCTGAAAGTTTTCAAAAGACTTGCATTTCTGTCTAAATAGTTTTGCATCATCTTAGGATATATTAGTTCTAGTATAATCTACTAGGTTCTAATATAATGTTGCGCTGTTAGAAAAAATTGAGTTGGCTGCTGAAAATGTTTCTGTATTGAATTGATGAGGCATTCATAGAATTTTTAGAGGGGGATTTAGTTATTGTGCATGCTTGACAGATTTATTTTTTTTTTTGTGGTTGTTGTTTTTGATCAGTTCTGCATTTGTTCCTCAGAATAGCTACACTTAGAGAACAAATAGTGTGTTTTCCTTTCAGGAACTGTGAATCTGGTTGTTTTCATTCAACGTTGTTTTCCTCTGCAATCTCTCCATGTCATGCTACTATCCAGAGGATATTTTTATCTCCTTTTTATGATACCTTGCTGGGCAAAACAAGAGCAGCTATTAAGACTTAATCAGTGGGACTAAAGAGGATGGAACAATAACAGATAAAACATATACACATGGACATTGCTTGACTTAAAATTTTAAGTGAGATTTCTGTCAAAAGGAATGAGAGAAAATACACGTAAATCTCAGATGGAGCAAACTGATATCTTAACTAGCTACAGATTCTCTAATGAGACTAGAGATGATTCATTTATACCTACCCACCATGTGAATGAATTTGAATGTACTTTAAACTTTGACTGCACCCTAAATGAGATGAGTTTTGCATCCTTGCTTAATGGTAAATGTGTGTAAGTTCTTTAATTTAGGTTTTTGAGGATACTATGAATCTCAAAAGATTACTGATGTCTGTAGCTAAGTACAAAACACTTCATAGAATTGAGGGAAAAAAGGTGTCTTGATATTATTGCCAAGATAGCTGAAAAGCCTTTGAAATATGTAAAAATTATCTAACTTTTAATTTTTACTAAAACTGGGATTTTGTTTTTATTCCGAAAAGCTATGCTGCTAAGCTGGTTTTTGTTACAGATAAATTACGCTCAGTACCTTGGAATAAAAATACCATGATTAAGAAATTTCAGGCGAGAACAATTACACAGTAACAACGTTCCCTTTGAAATGACTTCATGCTTTCTGATACAAATGTAAATGTTTGCTTTTGAGTGACAGTTCACATGTACATTCACACCATGAGTGTTCATATCCTGTTACATGAGAATGGATGATCTATTAATTCACAGCAAAAGAGTGCACTATACCCCATTTTCTTTCCTCTTCAGCACAACAACATATAAAGCAGAGAGCACAAAGCAATGTGTCTGTTCTTCTCAAAAGATTAGTAGAAATTATGCTTAATTGCTAAGGTGTTATATGGCTTGCTTGGTTTTGCTTGTACTGTTCCTCATTTTGGGTTTTCTTAAAGTGTTCAGTGTGCATTGTCTTCTGTTTCATCTTCTTTCACTGGGAGTTTTTTCACTGTTTTTTCTAAAAGTAGCCTTTTGGTCTGTCATCTTTAGTGGACATATCCTCTTAGGCAATTTGTGTGCTGACTGCTTGGAAAAGGGCATATACTGGACAAGTGGCTGGTTTATTGCTCCTCCAGGAAGAAACTCTCTTGCTGCTTGCAGGAACTGCTAGAAAAACTACTATTCAAAGATGAGTGAGTTACCAGTAATCGGAGTTCTTTAAGATATGTAGATCACACATATATTCACTTCCTGCTCATTCTCCTCTTTCTTTCTGAGATTTATTATCTTCTACCTTCAAAATTCAGTGGTTGAAAGGAGGATAAAAAGTTCTGGTGCAATTCACTGGACTCTGTCAAGAAAGAGCATCAAGCTGACCTCTGTGGTAACTACAAGGAATACTGAGGGGTGTTATCACCTACAGTATGAATCTACACATGAAGTAGGTATTTTAAAGAACTCCAGTTACTGATACTTTTTTTGCCTTCCATGTAAAATGATAGCTTTGTCTCAACGCCCATATATCTTTCCTGTAGTGGGTCAGCCCTAAGGTAAAAGTATTTAATTTTTCTGCTTGACAGACATTTGATGGCCACTCAGATTACATTAATGATCTGGTGTTTGCTCCCAAAGAAGGTCAAGAAGTTGCAAGTGTAAGTGATGATCACACCTGCAGGTATGCATTTTGTTCAAAACATTACTGAAATAGTAGTGTTTAGCTTTTTGTGTGTGTCTGCTTTATATGCTGGCCTTCATAGTCCACTAACAAGACGAGTCCACTAACAAGACAAGAAGTGGACTAGTCTTGTTAACTGGGTTGTGGACTGGCTTTTTGTTGTGACTCGTGGGTTGTCTTTTTTCAAAGCAATGTTTTGAACTAACTAGATACAACATGAAGAAAACTGTTCTGTCTTGGAATTATGTACACTATAATTTCCCCTGCTGGGGCAGGAATAAAAGGCATGAGAATAGGAGAGAGAAAACATGCATAGCGCAGCACTGAACTGTACAGGCCCTCTCTATCCATTCTGTCATCAGATGAGTCAAGTTTAAAACCAGTATGTGTATGTAAATTTGTCCACTTACCCAAATTTATTAGCCTTACTAGGAGGTAGGATTACATAGTGTTAAGGACAGTACCATACTAATACCATGTTTATAGCTGCTTCAAACCCATGTATTTAATTATTTGTAACTGGAAGTAAAAGGGAAACATGGTTAAATACTTTGAAAAATGCTGGTTAAGGTTTTGTAGCACAGGCATTTTTCCTTGTCAAAAGGTCCCCAACCTCCTCTTCTAGTAGTGCACATGAATCTATAAAGCTGCTATTCTTAGCTCTCCAATGCAGCTCACAGTCGGAGAGATCAGGAGTGCAGCTATGCAAGCTTTGCAAATCATTGCATTAGCAGCAAGAGACTTGAGAAACCATCATCTTTGACTTTTCTTTGTAATAGCTGTGATAATTCAAAACTTGTCTCAATTAAGGAACTGTTTTATTTTTTTCTCTGATTATATGAATTACATATTTGCTTTTTGAACTTACCACTGTATCAATTCCTATATAAACAACCCGATAGTACTCAGAGGGGAAAAAAAGTAATTTTTCACGTAAGCCATCTTCTGCCTGCTAAGAGAGAAGAGAATAGCTCTTAAAATGATTACTCTCTGTATAAGATTTTGTAAAGGGTAGATCATCAATTGGTATAAATCAGTCTAGTAGCTTTAGTTGAGCTACTCTGTCCTACATAAACAGAGAATCTAAAAGGCCTGTGATTTTAATACCCCTAGGGAACTCAGCAATGCTACTTTGACTAGTAGCCAGATTTTCCATAGACGCCCTGTCCATATTCCCAACAAAATCATTAGGAATGAATAATAGAAATGTATGACTTATAGCTTGTTCTGATTTATTTCCTATCCTTGATTTCTTCATTAAATCTAAACTAATATTGGGCTTAATCAGCAAAGTGCTGTTTGAATGTGTGGCCTTTTTTTGTTTATTTTATGAAATGCTAGGTGTTCCTGGGATGAAGGAGAACTGTTTTAAAACCTGTAGTCTAACTGATACTAAATTAAGAGGAAATAAAAATGATATAATTAATGTATACTATCAAGATTTCAACTTACTAACTCTGAAAGACATTTTATGCAGTAAACCATAAAGTCTTTGGTTAAAAGCCATGGGAAATAAGTAGGATTTTTTTTGGCTACTTGAGTTCTTATTTTTTCCATTCGTGCATGTGGAGCATGAAGATTTTTTTTTTATTGAATTTAAAGGTTACACTTTCAAAACTAATGGAAAATGCATTCCTTGAGACTTACCAAAATCATTCCTTACTTACAGTGTAATTTGCTTCAGCAGTAATGTAAGAGGAGGAATATAATTCTTCTGTCTGCACTGAGTTTCTATCCTGAAATTGTTCTCAGGATACGTCATCTGTTAATACCTTTGGAATAAGGTTCTAGAACAATTAGTACAAGAATATGAAGTTTTGAGTGTTTGGGTATTGCTCTGTTAGAGTTCGACTTTCAAGTCTTAATAAAATCTTAATGCAATCTCTCAGTATGTACTGAATATATACAAACATGTTTAGATCTTCCCTGGTTTTCACTCAGTAGCAAGTATAGCAGAGATCTCTAAGGAACTCAGATTTTCAGTTTTCACTAAACAATCTTGCCACAAGCTGCTGCAACAGTGACATCTCAGAGCTGCATTCAGTCATTTTGGTTGAAGACAGTGTAAGTCAGATACTGCTTCTGTTCAATGTTCTTACCTTGAAATTGCTGCTATGTCATTCAGGAATTCTTCTTGTTTCTTGTACATAGTCTTTGTTGGCCTTGTTTGTCTCGCAACACAAGACTTTTTCCCAGTGAAGAACTGAACTAAAAATACTCTTGCATAAAAATACTTGCAGTAGCCATCTATGTTATGTAGTTGTGAATAAAAAGTGTTATGTGCATTCACAGACAAGTGAAGAGGTGTTAGTATGTAAATATGCTGTACAGTTTAATAATCTTGTATTTCCCTGCATTGAGAATCTCGAAACTATATAACCTTTAAAAGAATTGCTTTTCTGAAAGAAGACACCTTTGGAAGACTCTTAAAACCTGCCATGTTGCAGTTACTCACAACGGTATTTGTATTGGAGATCAAAATTCCTGTAGCTTATAATTACATCTGCAAAGTTGATTGAAAAATTCAAATCCTGGATCCTAAATATCATATATTACTTCCTTCATTTTGTCCCAAGGATGACTATGTTCCAAGATGGATGAAGCTGTTCATAAGCATATAGTTAATTTATATCTTTGGCAGGATATTGTAATTTTCAAATTTTGCTGTATTTCACTTTTTTACACATTTCAAAATTGCTTTATGGATTTTTAAAAAAAATAGAAAAAGAAAATAAAATTATTTTTAAAGTTTGATTGCAGAATTCTAAAGAAAATGGTAAAAGACTAGCAGAGGAAACAGCTAAAATAACTACTGTTATATTAAACAAAAATTTGACTCAGTTTTATTAATAAAAGTCATATGTGTTAACATATTTAGTGTAATTGAAGTAAAAATAAATAAAAGTAAATATTTTACATATACATTAAAAAGATCAAATTTAGGGTATTTATACATTTCTGCTGAAGCCAAACTTTGTCATGGCAGAAAAGTAAATTACCTCTTGGATTTAATCCAATTGTTTTGCTTCAAATCTTTTTTTTTTTCTTCATGATCTACTTTTCATATCTCAGTTCCAAAATTCTATATAATATTTATGTGTAAAGTAATTTGCTTGTCCATTTCTGGGTATCATGAGAGAATGTTTAGTGAATAAGAAAAAGCCTTTTATGATAGCTTTAAGGAATATTTCATTTAATTATTTAAAGTTGTAAAGCATTATACACTTCTTTGAACATTTGCATTAAGCATAGGAATGCGTGCTTCCCACTTTGTGAATGAGAACTGTGTGTGCAACTCCCTGTGCGCCACTTTTAAAAAAAAAAAAAAATTATTACTGGCTTTTTCATTATGATTTAGAACACAATATAGGAGGCTGCAGGGATTCAGATGTACAAATAATTTTATTCTGATACTTAATGAAGCCTCTGCAAAAGAACGTAGGAAAAGTTTGGAAAACAGCACGAGCTTAACAGACATCACTGTACTGTTGGGAGTTTTTGACACTATCAGATGTTTCTTGAATTATTTTATACAAAATACCATCCTGGTAAAACCCACTAGTCTCATATGCATGCTAAAATTAACCTCTGACTGTTAAAAGGTTAATTCACTCTGATAACCATGTCATACTCCATCCTCATCTTGAACTGAAAGGTTACTGACAGGGTCAGACCTTAATAATGGCAGCATGGCAATTTCTTATGGTGATCAAGTGGTGGATTGGCTTGTATTTTAAAAAGCTGAAAAGGACTCATCCATCCCTCTCTCTGCCTCCCTCTCTGTCTCTTTTTTTTCTTTTTTTAAAAAAAATTATTCCTTAAACTGCATCATCTTCCTCTCTTTGTGCATGTCTAATAGAAGAGAATATACAGTTGACTTATCTTCCACTTTATCTGTGAATGTACTTGCTCTTTGATTGCTTTCTGAGTTCTCTTCAGTTACTTATGCCATGGCTCATGTTGCTTCATAGAGAAGGACTTTGTGAATTTATTTATCAGTCACTGTCAAGTTCAGCCTTCTCTGTTGCACTTACCACAAATGCTAGTCCATCAGGTTAGTTTTGCTCCCTGGACAGAGATTCAGGGGAAAGGTTTGGTATTACTGGAAACTAAATTAACTACAGACTTAAAATTTATCATAGTGTTTGGTCTGCTTTTAGAGTTTTTTAATCTGTAGAGTATTTGTTTACATGGTACTCTTATGTCTCATCATTTTGTGTAGGTCTTTCGCTAGGCAATATGAAGGAAAGCCAATGGTAACTCTTGTTTGTTTGGTTTTTTTGTCTTGTGTTCTTTAATATGTTGCCAGTGCTTGTTGCACTTGAATCTTACCTTGTTAATTCAATAAATATTTTAGTCTTTGACTATATTGAAAAGTTGCCATTCTCGCTTATTCCTGCCTCCAAAATTATATGTTGTTTGTATCTTCCCATTCCTAGTGCACTCAATTATGGATTTTTGCCAAAATGAAAAAAAGGTACCTTATTTCATGTTGTTCTATCTTCATCTGTTTATGTGACAGAATTCCCCAGTGTTTCTTCATATAAGAAATATCATACCAAAATATTTATCCTTTCTGAGGTATGCTGATTAGTTATCAAGCTAGTTACACATTATAGTTGATAAAAATAAAGGAGACTCCTGGATTATTTTTAAGGACCTAGTCTTCGACTTTGCACACTTTTTGTATGCCTCCCTGTGTGTCTCCCAAATGTAGTCTTACACAATTTCTCTTAACTTTACAGCCATGGTGCAAGTATTAACCAATAACTTCTGTTGTACTTCACAATCACTATGTGAGTATTAACTGGTCTCCTGTTACAGTATCCAGTCAGCTTAAAAAAAAACAAAACACTTTCTGAATCAAATGTTTAGAACGTTATTTCAGTCTGGGCTTAGAGTGTAGATTAATAAGCCTTTAGTTAGGAAGTCTTCAAAATATGTGGATGAAATGGTAGCTGTTTCCTGTGTGATGCATTATGACTTACGTTACGGGGTCACACAGTCCTAGAAGGTAGTCTAGCCAGTATATTGTTTTAAATAGAAATTATTGCATTAGATTTGTTTAGCAGTTACCTTGTATTTTAGAAAGTCATTGGCAGAATTGTAGTTGAGTTTCTCAGTAACAGTCATACCACAGAAGCATTTAGTTCTACATCTACATTGGAAACAATAAGCTGGTAACTCTCTAACAGCTAATTTTTCTTTGTTTGAAAGGATAAAACTGAAGCTTCACATTTTTACAAAAATACTGCTTAGTCTCTGGCTTTGCTTTAGATAACTTTAAGGGTATTTCAGTAGTAGTAGCGTGTATTTCTTGGACTTATTTCTGAGTGTGCATGATCTGAAATGTGTATTAGCGGAGAACAGTCAGTTGAGACGCTTGAGCGAGTACGTATGCAGTTCCTCTGTCTCTCCCACTTCTACCAACATTGCAGGGGATAATCAGCATTACATCCCACAGTTAGCAGTGAAAAACAGATCAATGCTTGCATATCCAAGTAGGTATTACAAGAAGCTAGAGATAACATGGATTTTAATGCTAAAATCTGAAATATTCTCATTACTGTTCTTTTAGTAACATTGTCATTTCCTTTGGCCACCAAAAGAAAATGGTGAACCTGGGTCAACTTTCTGAAAGAGTATTTGCACATTTGCTCTATGAAAAGGCTTTTATTTCATGGATCAAAAAAAAGAAAATGCTCTACAGGCATAAATTTAGGAGCCTTTATGCGGAGTCAGGAGACTAGTTTAAGATGGCTGTGCCTGGTAGACTAGTGCTAGCAGCACAGATGAATTTCCCCTTTCTCCCCATGCAATCACTTTTGTGGCTTGTTTCACAGTGTGCTGAATAGGGAGCTCTGCTACCTAATTCTGCTACAGATTCTGCAGTGGTGAACTGTTAATTGGGCAGTGCATTACCTGATTTGTAAAAACTTAAATTCTTTATTTTGTCAGGAAAATAAAATGAATTACTAGAAATTATCTTGAATATTACACCTTTCTCCTTCTGAACAGCTAGAGGGTATTTCTGCAGTTCCAGTTCAGCCATCTGTTCTTTTGAGCCCTGTCTAGTATCCTCTTCAGATCTTTGATAACCACCTCTGTATGGAGTTGGCAGAAAACCTAGACAAGGCCAGTGTTGGTTATATTCTCCACAGCATTAATTAATCTCTGCACTTCCGTTTTCCTTTTCTGAGATCATCCTCTCCTTGTGTCAATGAGGAACTTCACACTTTACCTTTGTTGTAAGATCTTGATAATGGAAATCTTGCCCTTCTCCATAGTCCTTTAGGCTTTTCAGGGGTGATAGAATTTTCCTCACACATGGAATATGTCTGATGGAGATACAAAGAAACATCAGCAAACAATATTTACGTTAGATATTATTAAAAAAAAAAAACAAAACAACGTGTTGGGCATTTTTAAGAGTAGGTCAGACAGTAATCTCTGAGTTATGGTTCAAGTATAGTTGATCATGCTTTGTGGCTGGGAATAGTATCGGGTCTCAAAGTTTGTTCTAGCTCCCACCCTACTCGCTAAAATTGTTGGAAATCTTATGTTGAAAGAATTCTCTTTTTTACTTCTGTCTTCTGGGGATTTGAGAAATGCCTGAAGGTTGCAATATAGTTTTGTTCTTTTACTAATGCAAATGATGATTTTTTATTCAGTTAGGATTTGGTTTTGCTCTCTAGTTAGAGTTATTCAGAATTGAGGAAGTTAGAATATAAAATAAGGATAATCTCTATTGCCACAAGACAGGTTTTCAGATGTTCTAATGAATACTTTGCCAACTTTAATAAAAGTCCATTGTGTGATAAAATTACTGCACATATGCAGCATGTCATTATGCATATTTGTGCATACAACATACAATATAGTTGTTCCAACGTAGTTTGAATATCTTTGCACTTTGAGATAACTGCAGTTGTCATTTGTTTGTTTAATTATAGGATGTGAGTGACAAGAGAAATGTACTCATATCTCAAGAATTTTCTTAAATGGCTTTGTAGCTATCTGTGTTTTGTGTTAGTTTAAATTTTGTGAGCACTGCAGTATATAATTTCTCAGTCCTTAGTTACTTAAAAAATAATGAATTTACTGAGCAGATTATGTATTATTGTTGAGGTTTTCCATTATTCAGACTTTGGCCCTTATTTCAACTGTGGTTATTCAAACTTTTCGTCTTTAAATTGATTGTGGAAGCTTTTTTAAAATATAAAAAAAAAAATACCACAAGCCCAGTAGCAAGTCTATACAACAATGGTTGGTGGGGGGAGGAGGAGAAGTAAGAGGGTGACACATTGCCGGGTTACAAAAAGTAAGGATGTTTGGAGAAAAGTAGACACTAGTTTGCTTTGGTATAAAATCACATTAATATTAGTAAAGTTTCAACGGCTTTGAATGGGAGACAAAATGCTCAGTCTTTTTGGATTGATTTACATGGTAGGAATGTGGACAAAACTAGAGGGTTTTTTTGCATCTGTAGCTGATTTGGTTACGATTACTGAGTAACTGAGTAACTGAAATTCAGTTTGGCTAGATTTTTGATCTTTGCACATCTTTTACTTGGTTTAGTCACAAAGAAATATTGAAAAGAGTTAATTGAACACATATGTAATTGTAAACTTCCATACCAGAATGGACTTGATGCACAAGGATCTATTTTGATATGTATTGCCTGGTTTGTTTGGTTTTTTAACTAAATGATACCATCTTTACTATCAATAAATAAAGAAGAAAATATAAGAGGGGCATTTATCCTTTTTTTCCACCCTCCTATACTGTTTGTTACTAACAATCTTACCATTCTTACAAAGTAACTGATACAAGTTTGGGATTTTATAAATAACAAAGTTAGGGATGTAGAAAGCATAAATTTCTGTCTCAACACCTAATAACCTCACTCACTTCAGGGAAGGAAACAGGATGGCACGCTCCTTTGGCCAAAATGATTCACCGTCTTCTGTTATATCATAATTTTCTCCCTGCACAGTAAATACACATGGAAAGTGTTGATTTGACTTGGACAAATCTACAAGGCAAAATTTTTGGCAGTAGAAGAAAGTATTGTATGTTTCTAAATTACCTAATCAAGTAGATATTTCATTTTTTAAACAGTTGTCAGGTTTTTGTTTTGACTTTTTTTAATAAGGACACTGATTCTTCAAGATTAGAGACCCTGTGTTTTCTACAGGGAGAACAAATATTTGATCTGTTGTGGTTTGGCTTAAGAAAACAACATTGTTCATTAAATATATTTACTTTATTCCCATATATTTTGTCTAGACTTATGATGTATTATTTAAGAGTTTTTTGAAATCTCTTAAATATAAGGCTCTAGGCACCCTGGTGAGATATAAACTGAAAATGTCTGGAGGAAGTCAGCAAAAATCCTCTAGAATAAACAATAATAGTACATAGCTACTCTTCTAACTCAAAAGACTGGACAGAACACTACTTAAAAAGCTAGTTGTTTCTAAGGTTTTGTGTGTCAGGGAGGAAGGATGTATGTGTATGTTTTGGTATGCAAATGCATATAAATAGTACATAGCCTTGTGGTTGAGACTGATTTTCACAACTGCAATGTCTTTGTCTTACAACTGACCTACTGATTTGTAAGAAAAGAGGCAGATGAGCAGTGACTGTGAGGTAAAATAGTCTCAGTTTTGGTTTCGTTGCAGTTTATAAATGAAGTAGCTTCATGGCTCATTAGCACTCATATTGAAGGCATCCAAAGAAAACGCACTCAGCACCTAACCTAGTTTTGGTGTTTCAGCATACACTTCTCTGTCAATCCATATTGACCAAATGTTGTTGATTTTATGAATTTTTTGTTTAACTGCTTGATATGTGCTGTAGGTGCTTCTAAAAGAAAAGATTAAACTGGCGTGTGTGATTTATTTGTTGAAAACTTGCCAAGACCCTTTCTGGGCTAGTGTTGCCTCTGCTGTAGATCCTTTTGTTTGCCTTAGCTTCATTTTTAGTTTCTTATATTTCCATTACTCAACCTTGTATTACCAGGAAAAAATGGAAAAATCATATATTAGACAAGCAAAATACTTTAGTGCATGGTCTTATCCTTTACATGGTAACGTGGATGATTTTAGTTGCTTGGTACTTCACCCTAGGTTGCTTGTATCAACTAGACCAACACTGACCTTCGTGTCATTGTCTCAGTGCTATTTATGGTATAGTATAAAGGCTGCAGTGTTGACCTATGAATAAAGTGGGAGCATATCATCCAGATTTCATGTCTAGACAGCTAAACTTGTCAAATTATTTGGATATTGCCCTTTTAAACAGAGGCTCTGCCTAGTTCATCAGCGCTAAAATACATTATCTTCAGCACTGACCGCTTTTACCGACTTCTTGAAGTGATAAAGCACAAACAATATTTCATTTGGTTACTTCCTTTGTGAATGTATTGAGGCACTGAAAGTTAATGTATTTGGAGTTAAATGGCAACAAATAGTTTAATACTTTGGGTTTTCTTGGGTTTTTTGCTTTAGGGTCTGGGATTTGGAAGGAAATGAGAAGGCCCATTTTGTTTTACGTTCTCCTGGAATGAGTGTTTGCTGGCATCCTGAGGAGGCTTTCAAGGTTGTGTTTTCCAGCTCTTCACTCTCATGACCTTTGAAAAATCAGGAGGGTGGACTTATCTAAACTCTGAATCTTTGATGCTGTAGTAAGATTGAAGTTTGGGGAGCTAGTGCACATTGTAATTGGATGTTGGTTGGATCTGCTGTGAAGTCACTGTAAATGAATTCTCATTCCTATTGTCACTTTACCCTCAGTTCTTCACTCCTCCCATCAGAAATATTCCTTCTTGGTTACATACATCAATTGTTGTTGATAACACTTCTGCTGATTGCATATTAACTTACAGTTACCAGAGAAAAGTTCAGGTTCTTCTCAGTTATGGTAACAGGGTTCACCAATAGCAGACTCTTATAAAGCACGCCAAGTTTTGAAAAGTATCTGTTTGAAGTTAGCAAGGGGTTTTTTTTGTTGTTGTTCTTGCTTGGAATATATGAAATATGTGCTGAAAAATCAAAACAAATCCATAAACTGTGATTTTATACTTATCTGTTTATTGTACCAGCGAGGATTAATCAGCTGATATATACCAAAATATTCAGCTTCATTAATGGTCTGGTCCTTGCAATCTTGGATTAATTATTCCTGTTGTACCAATCAATAACTGCATTAAGCAGCTACAAATATTTGTTCAGATTACCACCAAAACACACGCTTAAAACAGAGAAAAGCAGTCAAATAAGGTATCAAAATATTTACAGAGCAATAGGGAAGAAAGATCTCTATTCTCATCACACTTTCCACCAATATCAGTATCTGGTCCTTACTAGGAAAACTGTTGATTCAGGTGGTATCACAATTGAACGTGTTTGCTACTGTTTGCTACTGGGCACATTTGTTAGTGCAACAAAATTACTAGATTTGCTGCAAAATACTGCAATATTACACCAATCTTATATATTGCTTGTCTTTTCTTTGACCCTTATCAAAGAGTAGGGACAGGAATTTTTTTTCTTAAAGAAAAACCCCTTCAAGAAGCTAGTAAAACTTGACAGACTTGATGGTTGCTGAAAAGCTTACTGCAGGTCAAAGTGCTTGCTGCACTTAGTTTGCAGAAGAGCATGTTTTGGTGACAGCTCTCTTCTTCCAAACAAATTTGGATGTTATTGGAATATTGTTTTTAATGCTTCTTTGCCTTCCTTAGTTATTGTTCGTGACTACCTGAGAACCATTGTCTCCTCATGGAGATAATCTCTTTTGTCATTTAATCAGGAAGCTCTTTCTACAATAATTAATAAACTGCTTGAATATATTACTTTAATGGAAAAAGTTTAGATGAAATCTGTTGCACACTGTTATAGGATGAAGTAAGAGATCTTATATAAAATCTGTAAGATTGAATCCAGATTTTACAGTTACACTGATTAATACTGTTGTTTCCTCATACAGCACTATGTCTGTCAGTCAGTTCTTTGTACTCAGAACAGGAACTTTTTAATAAAATAACTTTTTGCTTTACAATTCTAAAAGCACAGTGTATTGGTGGTTAAGAACTTGTGCTTCTAAGCACCAAAATTATATACATAGATATCTGAAGATATATATAGATAAAATAATGTAATCATTATGTATAACAATGTGACAGTAGTATAGATTAAAGTGCTTTTTATTTATTGGTGGAAGAGTGTTCAAGAGAATGTTTTCTAGTGCAAAGTGAAAAATTGTACCTATTTTAATATTATTAATATTTGCTTGAAAGCATGCTAGGTTTGCTATAGAGTAGAAAAGATATTAAGATTCATTACATGCTAAGTTTACAACATTCTATTAATTTCTCTTAACAGCTGATGGTAGCAGAGAAGAATGGAACAATACGATTCTATGATCTAATTACACAGCAGGCCATTCTCTCCCTAGAGTGTGAACAAACACCGCTGATGTCAGCAGACTGGTGTTTAAAAAATACTCTTAAAATTGGAGCAGTTGCTGGAAGTGATTGGCTAATCTGGGATATCACTCGCTCCAGGTATTTTTATACACATGAGATAGGTTTCTTTCTTCTTAAGCAGTATGTGAAGAGATGTGGCTACTTTGCTAATGTAGCACTTAAATATACTATGTATTATATCACTTATTCATCAGGAATTATGAAATCATTACAGATCATTCCCTGGTATTCTTTGTTTCATCTTTATCAGTATTTCTCTGTTAAAAATAACATTGTCTTTTTGTCCATTTGAGACAGCATCTTACTACTGTTTACTGTAAGTTTTATGTGTTTGCTAAAATGTCATTCAAAGTCATAAATAGATAATTATTGAACCATAATAAACTGGATAACTACTTCAGTTTTCCTACACCAAAT